CTAAAATAACCACTCAACAAATTAACTAATCTTGCAATCAACTATGTGATGTGGCTGCCACGTAGTAAGCCTCACTGCCATGTCATCTTCTTCATTATGTTTTCTAATACTCCCCCTCAAGAGGAGCAGGTATGTCAATCATGCTCATCTTGTTTGTAAGAACTTCAAATTGAGAAGGGTGAAGTGGCTTTGTGAATAAGTCTGCTACTTGGTTAACAGAAGGGATGTATTCTGGCTTTAAAATTCCAACAACAACCTTTTCTTTGATGAAATGGCAATCCATTTCTATATGCTTGGTTCTCTCATGCAGGACTGGATTTTGGCTAATGCAAATGGCAGATTGGTTGTCACATTTGAGCACAACTGTCTGTTTATGCTTAAATCCTAAGTCTGATAGCAAACTGAGTAACCACATGACCTCATAACATGTTGTGGCCATGGCTCTATATTCAGCTTCGGCTGAGCTCCTTGCCACAAAAGTTTGCTTTTTTGATTTCCAGCTGACAAAGGATTTACCAAGAAACACAGAATAGCTAGTCACCAATCTTCTAATCTCCCTGCAACCTGCCCAATCACTATAACTGTAGGCTGTCAGCCTAAGATCAGAAGATGAAGGTAATAACAAACCTTTACCAGGAGCTTTCTTCAAGTATCTTAAAACTCAGAAGGCCGCCTGCAGATGGGACTGAGACGGCTTATCCATATACTGTGATAGTGTCTGTGCAGCAAATGATATATCAGGCCTGGTGAAGTTGAGATATAAAAGTTTCCCAACAAGTTGTCTATAGATAGCAGGATCAGCAAGTAAGTCAGAGTCTGCTCGTGTAAGTTTTTCGCTGGGATTGACCGGAGTAGCAGCTGGTTTTGCACCCAATAAGCCAAATTCTTCTAGCAGATCAAGCACATAGTTCCTTTGACATAAGACAATCCCTTTGTCCGACCTGGTTACTTCAATCCCTAAAAAAATACTTCAATTGTCCTAGATCTTTCATCTTAAACTGAGTATGCAAAAATTGCTTGATTTCTGTAATAGCATCCTCTGAATTACCAACAATAACTATGTCATCAACATAGACAAGTAAAGCAAGGTAAATGTCAGATATAACTCTTTTGGTAAATAGGGAATAATCAGCCTTAGACTGAACAAAACCAAAAGATAGCAGTGCCTGAGTAAGTTTTGAGTTCCACTGACGTGATGCTTGCCTCAATCTATATAAAGATTTTCTAAGTTGACAAACAGGTCTTGTGTACTCCCCCTGCACCTGATACCCCAAAGGAATATTCATATACACTATCTCTTCTAAATCACCATTAAGGAAGGCATTATTAACATCCATCTGTGACAATAGCCAACCCTGAGTAGCTGCCAAAGCAAGGAACACACGAACTGTCGTTTGCTTAACCATTGGGCTAAATGTCTCCTGAAAATCATAACCAGCTTGTTGATTGTAGCCTTTAGCTACTAATCTTGCTTTGTATCTCTCAATCGAACCATCTGCATGGAGCTTAACTTTGTATAACCACTTGTAGCCGATAGTGTGATGCTTAGGAGGAAGAGAAACAACTGTCCAGGTATTATTCAATTCAAGAGCATCAAGCTCAGCTTTCATAGCATCTCTCCAATGAGCAACCTTAACAGCTTGTTGGAAGGAATGTGGTTCATTAAGATTGGATAGAGCTGAAAGGAATGCTGTGTGGGAGGAAGATAACCTAGCAGATGAGACATAATGATGAATAGGAAAGGCAGTAGAACAAGTCAAAGGAGAGGAATTGGATGTAGTGATTAAGTTTGTATGATATGAAGATAGATATGAAGTTGGTTGTCGAAGTCTGCTACTTCTCCTGACAGGAATGTCTAAAGAAGTGGTACTGTCAGTTGGTGAGGAAGGGGTTATAGGGGATGGTATAACGTCAGGAGCATCATCAGAATAATGTGAAATATCAGACAAAATAGGTTGATCAATGTGACCAGATGAAGAAGTGGGGCTATGTGTATTCATCTCTGTCATATTAGCACAATCACTAAGAAACTGACAATGTGGGATAGAGATTGAATGCTCTGGAGAGTGATGTGATGAAGGAGAGAAAAGTTTCAGCTTATGAGAAAAGGAAAAACACATTCATGAAAAATAACATCCCTAGATATGAACACAGAATTAGAATTCAAATCATAAAGCTTGTAACCTTTCATACCATTAGGATAACCAATGAAAATGCACTGTCTAGATCGAGAGTCAAACTTCTTTCTACCATGAGTAAGGGTAGAGGCAAAACATAAACACCCAAAAACCTTTAAATGAGTATATGAGGGTGGTTTATGGAATAGCATTTCGAATGGTGTTCTGTTCTGTAACACTGGTGAAGGTAGTCTGTTGATTAAGTAAGTGGCTGTCAAGATTGCATCCCCCAGAAAGAAATTGGAAGGTGAGATTGAAAAAGCAAAGCTCTAGCAGTAGTGAGTAAGTGTTGGTGTTTTCTTTCAACAATACCATTTTGTTGAGGGGTTTCGACACAAGATAATTGATGTAAGATTCCCTTTTCAGAATAGAAGTGTTGTAACTTGAATTCTGGACCATTATCTGATCGAACTTGTTTTATGGCAAAGCCAAATTGAGTTTGAATAAGATTGAAGAAACTAGGAATGATGGAACTAACATTGGATTTGGTTTTCATCAAAAATACCCATGTCATGCGGGTGAAATCATAAACTATGATTAGGAAATATTGAAAACCACCATGTGCAGAATATGAATAAGGTCCCCATATATCAATGTGTATCAATTGGAAGGGAACAGTAGTGCTTTTCTCATGAATTGGAAAGGTAAGACGTTTGTGTTTGGCCATAGGACATATGACACATGGTATTTTATTTGTTTTGGAGTTAGTTTGAACATCATTACAAAGTTTGCGAATGACATCTAATTTTGCAGAAGATAAATGTCCTAGCTGAAAGTGCCAAAGATCAAAGCAATCGTTGACATCAAGGATAGGGACTACATTATTTGCAAACATAGATTTGTGTCTAGAACAGGAAACTTGACTACTGAGTATTAAAGGGTGAGAGAGAGCAGTTGAGTGTTGCAGCAGGTAAAGTCCTCCATTAACTTTAGCAAGTCCAATCACTGTCCAAGAGGGTACTGCCTGAATGAAACAGTAATCACCACTGAAATTAACGACAAGTCTTTTGGTATGTGTAAGTCTACTAACAGATATAAGGTTGAATTGGAATGAAGGAACAAACAGAACATTGTATAACATCAATGTAGAGGACAGGACTACTGTACCAGAGTGAGTTACTAGAACCTTAGACCCATCTGGCATGACCACAAAAGTGTTATCAATGGTATGAAAAGAAGTAAAAGAACTTAGACTACATGCTATATGATCTGAAGCTCCTGTGTCTACAATCCAAATAGCGTTATTCATGAAATGTGTTGAGTTATGTGATAATTGTGTAAAGCAAAAGTGTGGAGGTTCTTTACCAGTATTACCTGTAACATCTGATGAAATCTTAGATGAACCAGAAGCTGAGGCAGATTGCTCATTAAGAATAGCTAACAAATGCTTAATTTGATGTTGAGTGAATAATCCCTGTGGTTTTGTTTCTGGAGTAGTAGAATTCACGAAGGAGTCACGTTGACATTTTGCTTTATCAGTGAATGAAGGAATATCTTCATTTGTCTGTTTGAGCACTGCATTCACTCCTGTGAAATTGGTTCTTCCCCTAGCAGACTCAAAATTGGTAGTAGATGATTGAGCATGTCTTCCTTTAGTAAATCTTGGATTGTTTGGAAAACCAACCAATCGAAAACACTTATCCTTGGTGTGACCTGACTTTCCACAATGTGTGCATGCAATGGTATTCCTGGATCTACTCTGAAACACACCTCTACTGGCCATAGCTGAAGCTTCTGTAAAAGGAGGTTGATAACAGTTAACTCGTTTTTGAGATTCCTCTCTAATCACCAGGTTATATACTTCGTCAAGTGATGGAAATGGCTTCATCATGATCACATTAGATCGTAGTGCTGCATAAGACTCATTCAATCCATTGAGGAACCGAAACACACAATCCTTTTGATGAAGATCAATGTATTTCTTAAAACAATTTGCATTGCACTTAGTGCACTCACAGTGTGGCAGTGGCCTATAGTTCCTCAATTCTTCCCAAACAGAGTTCAACTCAGTGAAATACTCATCAATAGAGCGATTTCCTTGAGTGATTGAACTCAATGTGTGCTGTAGATTGCACACTTTAAAATCATTTACCTGTGAGAAATGTTTCTTCAGCACTCTCCAAATCTCTGCAGCTGAATCCATATAGAAAATTGTAGCTGCAATTGGAGGAGAAATTGATCTTAGTAGCCAAGATATGATCAGATTGTTACACCTTAACCAAGGTCCAAACGAGATATCATCCCTGTCTGGTGCTTCAATCGATCCATCAATAAAGCTAGTCTTATTGCGTATTGACAACGCCAGCAGGAAGGTTCGACTCCAGGTGGAAAAATTGCTTGAAGTAAGCTGTGGAGAGACAATCACAGTACTGTGATTGTCAGTGTGATGAAGGAAGAAAGGAGATTGAGGATCTTCTGTGAATGGAACAGACGCCATTGTTAAAGCAATGAAGAATAAAGAACAGAGTCTAGACCTAGAAGAATCAAGTCGAGTAGTATAGATGCAAAGAAATCTGTGATTAGAATTGAAAAAAGTTACGGAAATCATAGTAAATCAGAAGATAAAAGCTGTTTGGGAGCCGAGAAAGTGAAAGAAAGCATGTAACTGCTATAACCACGTGCTGTGATACCATAAAAAAAAGGGAAAAAATATTTTGAAAGAGGGAGCCAGAATTCCAAGAAAAGCATATAAGACTCTGCTCTCTGTTTAGTATATAGGACCTATATATACGTTACAAAACAAAACAGAATTGATCACGTGTTTTGTGATCTACTAATTACAGAAACAACCTCTAACTAACTCTAAAATAACCACTCAACAAATTAACTAATCTTGCAATCAGCTATGTGATGTGGCTGCCACGTAGTAAGCCTCACTGCCATGTCATCTTCTTCATTATGTTTTCTGATACCCACAATCATCAAGCACTCCATTTGATTGTCATCAAAATCAGACTGAAGTTTCTCGTCAACAGCCAAGTTAAGCTTTCCAATTCCATAGAGATCCCAAATCCACTCTACCAAACTCATTTCTGAATTTTGTTCAGTGGTATCAACTGCTTTTCTTCCAGTAGCAATCTCTAAAGCAACCACTCCAAAACTATATACATCAGACTCCTTACTAGCTCTACCTGTGCTTATATATTCTGGAGCCAAATAGCCTATAGTTCCAGCCAACCCTGTAGGCTGCGGACCTAGCTCATGGTCCATTAGTGGAGCTAACCCAAAATCACCGAGCTTGACATTGAAACTTGGATCGAGCATTATATTGCTTGATTTGACATCGATGAACAACACATTGTTCCCATTCTTCAAGAAGATAAAGTAAAGCAGAGGCCAATCCAAGAGCTATTCTGTATCTTGCAGTCCAGGTAAGAGGAATCTTCTTGCCAAAAAGGTGAGAATCAAGGCTACTATTTGGCATGAATTCATAGACAAGTAGGTACTCACCTCTATCATGACACCAACCTATGAGTTGCACCAGATTTCGATGCCTTAACTGGCTAGTGATCTTCAATTCAGTTATGTATTCCTTTTTCCCCTGTTTAGAACCTCTCGAAATTTTCTTCACAGCAATTGCCATATCTAAATCAGTCAAGAATCCTCGGTAAACAGCTCCAAACCCTCCTTCTCCTAACTTCCTGTCGGAAGAGAAGTTGTTGGTAGCTGAATTAAGATCTCTATAAGAAAATCTTCTCGGACCAGCTCCCATTTCAAGGTCATCATTGATCGATGTTAAGTCCACCGTCTACACTGTTTCCTTCCTTACCAACTTCCGTCTCCACAGAATTCCAGATACTACAGCAATCACAGCTATCAAAACAGCTCCTGAAACTGCCAGACTCACCTCTAGTGTCATCTTTTTAGCATCCTTTCCTCTCGTTTCACTCATCTCCAGAGTCGAACTAAATTCCCATGACTGAAGCACATGCTGCTCAATAAGATTAGAGGTAGCGGCTGTAAACCCAATCGTGACCCACTCAGGAAGAACCTCCCTGAGATCAATAATGTAGGAAAGACTTGTATTCTCTTGAGGAGCAGAAGTTGTCTGGTATTTCCAAGAAACAGTCAGATTCTTTGTAGTGGAGTTATAGGTGATCCACACATCAGCAGTATCGCCACGGTGTAAGCTAGTATTCCAATAGGTGTATGTGGCTGAGGAGATGGAGTTGTTGTTGATCCCAACATGTTGAATTGGAGGATCCCAATCAAAATTCGCAAAAGAATCAAATTCAATGTGAACAATATGGTTCTATTGAGAGTCACTAGTGGTGATGTTATAAAGGCCCAGAAAACCTCCTGCTGAATTCGGGGGTATGTGAAACTCAATAGGAGCGATGAAGAAAGCGAACCCAGCTACATAAGAAGTAAGACCTTCTATGTCGATGTAAAAAGAGAGGTGGGAACTGAAGTCCGTCAGCTTTGCAGAGGACGAGTCCCAGAGAGGTACCTTGCTAGCGTAAGTAGCTCGACCAACTTGACACATATAAGTGTCACTATTAAATTCAATGGTTCCAACATAAGCTGATGCACCTCCCTCATAGATTATGCTGGTGTCAGTGGGGTCAAATCGTGTTCTTTTTAAGGAAATTGAATTAACAAAGGGAAGAAGAAGAAGAAGGAGGAAAGAAATGATACAGATATTTGAAGTTCGGGAACTGTAGAAAGAGGGGACCATGATGAAGGAGAGACAGAAGACGCAAGTGATAAGTAGTAGATTTGCAACATGAATTTTACTAATATAATGGTGATATAGTTCTAACTTCTTTATGCCCAAGTTTCAACCCCGAGAAAAATATAATTTATTTGGCAAAGAACATTCGGCGAAGGGATTCATATTTCCTGGAAAAACGAAGAAAGATAAAGTTTGCTAAGTTATTGCCGGCATACCAGCACAGCGCGTTGAATCATAAGAAAATGATGCAAAATATTATTAAAGAGCAGTTCACTTTCATATCAGGTTTCGTGCTGCTAACTAATTGTGTACAAAACAACCTTAAACGTTACACCTACGACCATTTCCGCCTAGGTTTCAACCTGATTGAATTATATTATAATTTAAGTCAAACAAACATAATATAATAGAGATTACATCATATTTCTATACATAGAAATTATACCCTCATTCATTTGGTCAATTTTTTCGAATAAAAATATTGAAAATCTTTGTATCTGACGCAATTTAATATATATATATATATTTGTCAAAGAGGTTGATAGATGAGAGTTCGCGTTCTTTGTACTATTCCTTTGTGTTCGTTAATCCACCAGCTACATATTTGTGATGAGCAGTAATACATCCTTGCCTGTAATACTTGTTTTATTAAGATCTGTTTGTATTATGCTGGGAAAAGGCACCTGCACCAACCAAAATCACGAATCACAAGTTTCTTCTTCTTCTTCTTTCTTTCTTCTTTTTTTTTTTTTTTTTTTTTTTTTTTTTTTTTTTTTGGTGTAACTAAAATTAGGATCAACCAATCAATAACAATTAAAAAAAAAAAAACAATGAATAAACACAAAAGTAATCGACACTCAGAATTTTTATTTAAAAATCCTAGTGTAAGAAAAAACCATGAGACCATAGTTCTCTCAAACTCTTTCACTATATCAAATAATTGAATACAATTTTGTTTTTCCCGAAGTCAATTAGATGATACACATAAAAACATTAAAGTTATCATCACAAAAATAGAATTCAACAACAACAACAAAGAAAAGACTAAATCTCACCAAATATATTTTTAAGAAATATCTAAAGGTGAAAGGTTCTCAAAAATTAACATTATTCAAATTGAAGAGTTTGTTGCAAAAAACAACATATCAAAATTTTATCTTCATTGGGTTTGAAATTACTTTTCAATCAAGGCAATAGAGATGAAAAGTAACCTTTTTCTCTTTCTCTCTACGAGGCAAAAATTTCCCTTCTTTTCTATTGATTTTGCTTGTTTGTCCGCCATTGCACTTTTGTAGTTGTGTTATGCGGAATTGTTTTTTACAGCTACTAAATAAGTCAAAGTTTGGCTTATATATGATTAAGTCACTTACATGACTTTCTTTTCCTATTTAGTCCTTTTTGTTGTTGTTTTTTCCCCCTTGTTTTATATCTTTTTTTCCTTCTTATTTTGTATATATGGATTTTGGACACCATATGAGGAGAGACTTAACCCAACAATTCTCCTCATCCCGATTCATTTGGGAGGCTCCACCAAACTCGTTTATCTTTTGCAAAACTCAAGCTTCCCTTCAAGTAAAGGCTTGGTCATCATATCCGATTCATTGTTATTGGTATAGATCTTCTCAATAATAATAAAAACTTCATTTGCATAGCATCTCGAATCTATTGGTATCTAAACTCGGTGTATTTTGATAGAGCATGAAGAGTAAGATGCTTACCGAGATGGATTGTATTCTAACTATCGCAATGCAACACAAAGTTCTCTTGCTTCTAGGCTAAGTTCATGTAAGAACTTTTACATCCATAACAACTATTTACCTCTTTTAGTAATAGCAATGTATTCAATCTTTGTAGTGAATAAAGCAACACATTGTTGCAATCTCGATTTTCATGAAACTACTCTCCCTATAAAAGTCATCAAGTATCCTTAAATAGATTTTCAAAAATCAACATCACTAACTATATTTGGATCTGTGTATCCATCTAACATAAATTTATCATTACCAAATCATAAGCTATAACTAAAAGTGCTTTTAACACACCCGAAAATCTATTTCACTACTAACTAGTGTTCTTTACCAAGATTAAAGAAGAACCGACTCGTCATACTAACTATATGAGATATATTCTTTACAAACCCGGTTGTATATAAAGCTACCAAGTATGGATGCATAAAGAACCTTTTTCATCTTATTTCTTTCTTCATCACTTGAAAGCTATTGTTTAGAACTTAGCTTAAAGTGACTTGTAAGTGAAGAATAAATAAGTTTGGACTTGCCAATGTTGAATTTTTTGAGGAATTTTTGAACATATCTCTTCGAAGATGGCCAAAAATTTCCATTCTTTCTATAACGAGTAATCGTTGTGCCAAGAATATATTTTGCATGTCCCAAATCTTTTATTACAAAAGACTCGCTCAAATCTTTTTTCAAATCCTAAATCTTCTTAGTATCATGGTCAACTTATCATCTATATATAGCAAGAGAATAATAAATTCACCATCAATAAATTTTTTTATAAACACACAATAATCGAAATGATTTTACCATTATCATGCTCAATCATAAAGGAATTGAACTTCTTATACCATTATCTTGGAACTTGTTTCAACCCGGACAAAATCATTTTCCGCTTACAAACTTGCTATTCCTTCCCTTTTCAAACCTTTCAAGTTGTTTCATGTAGATCTTTTTATCTAAATTACCATAAAAGAAGGCCTTTTTTTACATCAAGCTATTCAACTTCAAATTTAAGCTATAAGCTAAACAAAATACAACTTGGATTAAAGACATTTTAACCATAGGTGAAAAGATTTTTTTTTAAATCATTACTTTTTTTTAACTAATATCCTTCAAATCAATCTTGCCATGTACTTATTAGTATAGGTGCTCAAAATCCAATCATATTTGGATATGTTTGAGTTATTATATTATTGCATTATTTATTTTATCAATAATAAAGAAGTATTTCTATTAATTCTTATGTCTTATATTTATTTATTAAATAAAATTAGATAGAAGTCCATATGATGTGCATTTGCATTAGTGATTGATCGAAAGATGTGGGACAAACACTAATGGACATAAAATGATATCATTAAATATCCTAAGTCTTGGCATTGGCAAGAATAGATATTGACAATATGTGGATAGACTTGTGAGTGCTATGCTCGGGCTATATGATAACGAGTAGGAGATCTCACACCTATTAGCATGATAATGACAAAGCAAGCACTTAGGTGCTTTATGTTAGAGAACATATAATTGGACTTGACTCGTCATGAGAACCCATTTGGTTTAATCTATAAGAATATCATACAAGATGGGTCCACTTGTTTCTTAGACTTGAAGTCATCATGGTTATCTCATTGAAAAATTTATGTACTTTGATACTTATTTCAATGGACCCGAGTAAGGGTTCGTTGTTAGCAATTCGTTGGGCGCACTAGTAATTTAATGGAGGTAGGTGGATGACTAAAATAGGACATGTCATTTCATGTATGCTAAAGGAGTTATCACATTACACTTTGATGAATGTCTACTCAAGAAATCTATGACCATAGTAAGAGTACACCAATAGAGCACGGTTCGTTTACTCTAAAAGCTAAGACATTTGAAAATCAAAGAAAACTTGTATGATCATGATCGAACAAGACTAATAACCAAGTTCGACATCACACTCGTGATAAGTTGATATAAGGACTGAATTGTATGATAACGAGTACTCATGAAAGGTAATTACAGATTAATTAGTCCTCCTAGAGAATTAGGTAGTCATGATACTTTGTTGAGGTCAATCTTGATTCATGTATCAAGAGATAAAGAAAGTTTTTTGTATTCTCGACACATTGCCAATATATCTAGGAGCCTATCAAGTCACACACATAAGTTTAAGCATTCACATAATAAAAGAGAAGCAAAGATGTTAGAAAAAGTTTCCAATTTTGAAAGTTTTCTATTTTGGAAAAAGTTTTCAAAAATGAAAGTTTCCTAAAATGAAAAGTTTTCTATTTTAGAAATCGGTTTCCTAATTTGGAAGTCGAGTTCCAAATTTGGAAATAAATAACCTAAAAGGAAATTATTTCTAATTTAGTTTTAAGAGTATTTTGAATTTTTTTTCCTAAAGCGGGCCTCCTAAAATTATTTAACTTAATTTATTTTGAAAGTCTAAATTAATTAATTGGGCTAAAATAGTTTAGGTCAATAGGTTTAATTAAAAGTCCGAAAGATATTTTGGTAGTATGATAAACATGAACCTTATTGGATAATGATGAATGTTTTAAAGATAAGATAAAAAAAGCCTACATGTAAAATAATTCCTAATCCTAAGAGGATTAGGAAGCAATAACTAGAGTCCTTTAGGCACTCATTGCTCGTCCTTTCGTTGCCCTTGCCCTTGGAGGATAAAGAAGCCTCTCTTATAAATATATAAGAAAGAGGTATGATAAAAATGAGATTTTTAAGAGGAGTGAAAATGGCACAAAGAAAAAAAGGGACTAGAGCATATAGGGTTGAGTAAAAAAATAAAAAAATATAGTTTTCTACTAAAAACCCTAGAACATACCATCTTCCCTTTCTCCTTTTGGGTTATTGCAAAATTACCTTGATTAGATTTCTAAAGCATAAACACTAAACAAGTAAGAAAAGATGGAGCTAGCACTCTACTAAATTTGATTGCTTCTTGTGTGGTGCTTGGACTGCGTGAATTATCGATAGAGGCCGGACACTTGGATGACTCCTTTCTACAAAGGTTTAAATCTATGCTACAAGAGGTAATTCTTTATTTGTCACTTTAATTCATAAATATATAGTTAGTTGATTCAACAACATGATCTTAGGCCCTTTAGATGTTGAAAATTTTTATTTTATTTTGTACCTCCACAGGATGTATGATCCTTAAGTACTTTGGTTATAAACAATTTTCTTTAATTTTTAATCTAGATACCCATTTTTTATTGAGTGCTTTCTTGTCTTTAGAAAACTTTACTAACTCAAAAGTATGAT